CTCTTTAGGTATTAAGGCTCTAGCAGGGTTTCAAGGACCTATTTTTAAGAGTGAAATAATATTTAGTTTTTAGCTGTTGCCATTTCCCGGCTATAGTGTACCACGTGGTGGTAGTCCTGTGATGTGGTTTACTGGTCACTGGAAAATTGACATCACCAAAAGCATTTCATTCACAATCTAAGGTTTTAGTGATGATTACAGACCTGCAAGCGAATAACTGGAATTGCTGTGACTTGCATGCTGCTTTGATTGAATTTTTATCAACAGTGAAGATTGTCTATGAAGGAACTGTTGCATTCAGCATCCATGTGATTATGATTAAGTGTTCAACATAAGACTCCTCTTTCCCCTTATAAACTCAAAATTGTAAAAATTTCCAGAGTCCTTCACTGTGCGCATTACTATTACGTGCCTCAGTGGAGTGCCTCGGAGCACCAGCCATGGAGCTGTGTCCATCGAGAGCCAGATTCTGGTTTTATTCTTAAATAATTTTTTAGGCAAGCCTCTGAAACAGGCAATGAGCTGAAGAAATGTGGGTTTTTCTTAGCGATACTGCTGACCCAAATCAGGTAGGAAGCTGGAGGGCTGTGGGCACACAGTCGGTGTGAGAGGAGAGGGAGTGGCTCACATTTGAAGGAGAAAAAGCAGCAGACGGCTGCAGAGTCCTAGCTGGATACCAGAATGCTGTGCTTGCAGGGGCTACTTCAGGTCAGGAAATGTTGGTCAAAGCTCAGTCCTCTTGACGAAGGCAAATAAAGCCCCAAATCCACAGAAATATTATAGTTCTTCAGCAGGCAAGGCTAAGGGCCTCAAAAGCAAGTGGTTTGAATAAACTCAGGCTCCAAAGAACAAAGAACAAGAGGTGTGCAAGGCAAGACACACCATAGTTGGCTCTCCCATAGGTACTTTAGGTCTGCGGTACTAAATTGAGAGAAAAATGTGCTTTGCGCAGTGAAATGGTGACAGATGACTTGAATACTCTCCAGAAACAACTACACTGAGCAAGAAGGTGTCATCTTAAGATAGTTAGCCCTTGACATGTCCCTTTACGTTTCAGTTTTTGCAAAACTAAGATTATCGCTAATGAACAATCCCCATTGAGGCCTCAGGTTCTTGTTCAGAAGTGACATGGGAAAAAGACTGCGGAAACCCCCGAGCTTGTTCTTCCAGATTTTTTCTTTTAAAGGAAAGAGGCCCATGCAACTCTATCTTCTCTGAAAAGTCTGTCTGAATATACATCTGAGCAAGAAAGTAATTTTAGCATCCATGACACACAGCTTCTGCTGCCATCTGATTGCTCAACGGCACCAAGAATAAATATTTCCTTAAGCCTAAGGACAGGAATCTGAATGCTGCTGGTTCCTCCTTCAGAAGCACCTGTGTGTGTGTTTTTTCAAGGTCTGACTAACACAGTGGTGCTTTGTAGCTCTGAGTCACTGAAGCTCTCCGACCCTACAAGCACACTCTTGCTTAGCGTCCTTTTCAACAAATGGAGGGAAAAAAAAAAGCTGAAAAGGCTGCCTGCAGCTTGACACCAAAACACAGTCCTCCTGCAAACCTTGACATGAGCGTGCCTGTTTTCCCAAAGAACTCAATGGTGCTACTCATGTGCTTAAAGGTAAGCAGGTGTTGGCGTGCTTTACTGAACCAGATCCACCAAGCCCAGAGGTTTGTCTTTTTTCTCCTAGATTCTTCACCTGACAGGTATACTTTTTCTGAGGCAATTTTAATCAAGTGGGAAAGCTGACTGGTTTTTTTTAGGAACTGGTGCAAACTTGTGTGCTTCACACACTTTTTAAGTGACAAATTAAATTTACACAGGATACCTAGAGCTCTTTGAAGCACTCATTTGCACGTGGTGGTGGTATTTAATGAACAGCTTCACCAATAGCGAGACCATTAAAGGAATGACCAGGCTGGTTTTTGTCTTATTTAATTACCTTAAACTTAAAAAAAGTTGACACCGTTGCATTCATGGAGGCCCATTCTGTCTCTAGGTAAGAGCTCAGTGATACCAGGATCACTGTGACCCACAGGCCAGCACCGATGAGAGGAAGGATGTTCCAGGGGTTATGGGGTGAACTTGAGACTTGGGAGACTTGGTCTGGTTTCCTGTCACCTCCATAAAGCCAGCCGGCCTCCGGGTGCAAGTTCCTCATCTGCGAAATGAATTGCACTTCCCCGTCTCAGAAGGACACTGTGGTGGGAATGCGCTGGTGACGGCGATGTGTCAGGTCGCTGTGCTGCCAGCAGCACGAGTGCTTCTCAGCCCCCAAGGGAAGCTGACGTACAGTTTGACGATGAGACGCACACGGTCCCCTGGCAGAAGGTTAAGCAAGGGGTAACCTGACTTCAGTGGGGCTGTGTTAGCAGAAGGGCCCAAGTTCACTGGATCGGCTCCCACCCTAAGAAAACCCCAGGTTGCTTTTGTTTCCCTTCCTGTCCTCTCTCCCCCCAGCTTTCGTGCTCGGCAGGTCCAGCCAGTCCATGCCAGGCCAAAATCCCTCGCCTTTGTGAGGAGGCTGGGCTCACGTCGGGGTTAGCACATGGACGCCAAGAGCCTTGTCTTTGTCACTGAGCGTAAATCAAAGGAGGGAGTATTGCAGCTCTGTGAATGCATTGGCTTGTGTGAAAAGGGGAAGGACACGGTCGCAGAATAGCCTGCTTATTGACATAGAGCGTAGATTTATGCAGCTGCAGCTGTGAGTATGCTGTAACAATAGCCCTTTATACGGTAAAGTAGGGAGGTATGAAACAGTTTCCAAAAGGTAGGTGAGCAATTAGCCTGCTCCCCTAGCCTCTGCACCAGGGGATTGCAGCTTCTTAGGCTGAGTTGTGATTCTCGGAAATTATTCCAGATCCTTTAGCTGAATGCTCTTTAGCAGATTTGCATATCCTTCCTTAAAAAGGATGACTTTGCCCTTGTTTGACACTTCAGTAATTTTTTAGTCTTTTCTTCTAAAGAGGAACTATCAAACTGGGGCAAACGAGGAAGAAGAGAACATTCTGTTACAAAAAGCGAGTGACTGGACCTGTCATTGGTCTCATCACTTTTGTTGCCTTTCAGATGGCTGGGAATGGGGAATCAGCTGCTCAAGACCACCTCTCTGCTGCTCGGTCATGCAGTGTTGCCTTACTCCTGGTGCTGGCCAGCTTAGTATTTTAGCAGACGCCGCCTCAAGTGCATTAGAGAAAATGAGCTCCTTCAGTTACAGGAGTGTTTTCAGCGTTTCCCCTGGGACACTGAGCAGTGTCACTGTTCAGCTGCCAGGCTGGCCTGGCTTTCCCTTTCCTAGATCGCCTCTCGCCTTGCCAGCACTGATCGTTATCCTGTGCCCCTCCTGGGAGGTGCTGCACAAAGGCAAAACACGTCTGTGTTCCAAAAAACATATAATCTAATCACGAGAAAGGTGCTGGTAATAAATGCAAAGAAAAACACAAGGAAACAATGAGACAACAGAGGATTTCTTGCAAGACTGAACTCTTAATTTGACCTGGGATTGCTGTCATGATAAAAAAAATGCCTATAAGGTGTTTATAACGTGGAAAAAGTACCTGACTTGAAGTACTTACTCTGTTCTGGACACAGCTAGCGCAGTTTTGATAAACACAAGTTCTGCACCAACCCATGGCTCAAACCCCAAGCCAAAAAGTGATTTAAAGAAAAATTTCAACATTTTTGGTTGTCTTTAAGTTACAAGACCCTTCCCAGCATTAGAAGAGGACAAGGTCCTTAGGGAAAAATACTTTCTATTTAAAGAGATTGCTATCACTGAAACTAGAAAAGGGCAAAAGAGGAGAGGTAAAGACTTGGAGGAAACAAGGGGAGAATGCTAAGTAGAGGAATGGAAACCAGTATCAGTAGGCTGTCAAATGCTATTAGATGACAAAAGCTCCCTCTAACCAGAAGCTTTATTGCAACTTTCTTCAAGTAAATGAGATTTTAACAGCTGTGTCCAGTAATGAAGGATTCCTTGCTACGAGACGGATTTTGAATCATCTTATCTATTGCAAGATCAACAACTGGTCGTAAGGTGTTGAGTTTGCCTGGAGGACTGCTGCCAGGAGACTCCCGGGCAGCCAGAGCAGGGTGAGCGAGGGGCTGGGCGCAGTGCTTGGCTGGCCAGAATGCCCAGCACAAGCCGTGCCCCGAAGGCTGGCCGAGGGAGCCGCGTGTGCTGGGCTGCGGGTAGGACGACTGCGTGTGCCGGCAGCCGAGAGCAGGGAGGGGATGCGAAGGCCCGTAGGAGCTCGAGGCAACGCTGCTACCTGCTTTGCAGGTGGCCTCTCATGTAACCGTTTCAGGTATTTTTGGGGGGGTGGTTTGTGTTGGTTTTGGTTTGGTTTTTGAGAAGCAAAAAGCTGTTGGCTTAATTGTATCACCTCTCTGGATGGCTGCCTCAGTTCCATGAGACCATCTTTGCAGGACACAGCGGGAGCCATAAAAAGCTGCAAAATTAAAGTCCAATATTTTCTGGGGCTAGCCAGGAGTATTGTGTATCCCAGTGGGAAGCTGGGAACTTCTTCTTTTTCAGAAATATAAATCATTCACCTTACTTGTTTGCTTAATGCTATACATTAAAACTGTCAGTTGCCCAGGTCTTGGTCTGAGGTCATAGCTGTGGAAGAGACTACAGAAGTATCTCTATGCCAATTTTTTTTGCTTTACAATTGTTTTAAAGTCATAGATTTCAAATAATAGAGTACTGTAAGAAAAGGTTATATAGGAGGCCAAAAGTTCAGGACAAACTGCAAGATTGTGTTGTTTATCACCTGGCTGTATTACAAGTCCCTGTGTGTACAGCATCAAGTACATATTCTTAGCGTGTCTACAAAGCACCTTTGAAGTCATAAACGTTGGGTAAGTTTTACTGCTTAGCTATCCAAAATGCTATACAGAAGAAAAGTTTTCCTCTTATCTGCCAGCACTGTGGCTAGGTAGGTGTGAAGCTCTGCAGGCATATTGGTTCTCATGTCCTCTCCCTACTTCTCTGCTCCAGTTGTCACTACAAATCACTCCGCCGTGTGGAAGCGAACAACACTATGAATACTCTGGACGGTGCTGCACAAAGTGTGAGCCAGGTACGTGAGCACTGGGCTGTACCAGCTTCATAACCGAAAAGCTCATTAGAAACAGCTCTGTGGGTCAGTAAGGCAGCTTGCTCTTGCGACTCTGCTAATCTGTTGGCACACCCCGTCGCAGGTGTATGATTTCAGGTTTACGAGTGCCTTCTAGCACAGGAGTGGTCCTGCTGACCTCAGCAAAAGCCATAGCAGCTATTTTGTTGGGATAGCACTTAGCGACTGCGGGAGACAGAAAGCAGCTTGATTCTCATGTGTGTAGATAGGACTGCTCCCAGGCCATGAGCTTTACGGGTGTTTCAGTGCCACACTAAATGGGGGCCAGACTGAGGAACTGAAAAGGTGACAGGAAGAATGATTGTCCACAGCAGTACAGCAGTGTTAGCCCAAGCTGGTTTTTTCCCTAAGCTCCTTAGCCAGCTAGTGTGCAACTTGCAAATGACCTCCTTGTCCTTCTCTCATTCACAGGAAAGTATATGTCTGCTAGATGCACTGGTACTTCTGATAGCGTGTGCCAGCCGTGTGGCCCAAACGAGTATATGGATGTCTGGAATGAAGAAGATAAATGCTTACTACATAAAATATGTGATCAAGGTGAGCTGTTCATACTGAAGACCCTTCAAATCCGAATTAGTGAAGCACAAATGTGGGAAAGTGGATCTAGGGAAGTTGCTTTGTTCAGGTACTTGACACTGGAGGCTGGGCTTGCAGAAGAGCCTGGCAGAGAGGGAGGTCCCCAGACAGCAGAGATTCTGTGCTGTGCTGAGCACCGCGACCATAGCCTCCGTGCTGCTCATAATGATTATCTTCACTGGGGCCATTCACTCCTGTGAGTTGGATCTTAAAGGTTGTCCTTTTGCCCAGCGTATTGTGCATTCACTTCCCCTAACACGTTTGTTTCACCCTTGCAAAAGCTCTGTTTATTTTCTACAGCAGCTACAAGGAAAAGTATTGCTCAGGAGCGCAATCAGTGAGGAGCCCTGTGCTGATCAAGGGTCTCCTTGACCTTGAAAGATAACATTTCCTCTAACATGAATGGTTTTGCATCTAGCATTCAAGCAAAACAAATAGGTAGAACAGTTCATAAACTTGAGGCTTATTATCAGAGAGATTTTTACTCCTATCTGCTTTCTCTTTTAGGGAAAGCTTTGAGAGAAGTGAACCCAGGGAACAGCACGTTCCAGCGGCAGTGTGCTTGTACGGTGGGCTACCACTGGAATGAAGACTGCGACTGCTGTCAGCGAAATACCATATGTGCTCCAGGATTCGGAGTCAAGGATCCTGGTAAGATACAGAAAGGGGATCTACGAAGTGAAATGTCCAGCTCGGGCCTACCAGATGAGGCCAACATCGTGTGGGTTGTGACATTAGAGAGGATACTTTAGACTCTCAGATCACTGTCAACAGAAGATGCATGTCTGAGTTATCATTACTACTGCATATAACCCTCCTGGACTATTTGCATTTTGAAGGCTTCTGCGTCTGTAGCATAAATAGTATCTTGGATCAAGTGACTTTTACAAGATATCATGTAGACGTGGCAATAGTTGCAAGGTGTTCAGTTCATTTCTAATATTTGCTGAGGTGTCTGAATGCGTCACTGGAGCATGCATTGCTCCAGTATTCAGAGAAGTGGTCCACTGGGGGTTGTTGCTGAGGTCGGATTTGAAATCAGTTTTTGTCCAATGACTTTGCTTTCCATTTTATAATGTTATAAGCAAGTTAAAAGTGATTAACACCTTTCAGGTAGTGCAAGTACTCTTTGGTTTAGGTGACTTGTAGTGCAAAGCTTTATTACACTAAACCGTTTATTAAGACTAAACATTTAGTTTAGTCCTAAGTCTGATCGAAAACAAAATGCAGGTGTTTTGTGGGTGGAAAATAGAGACAGTCAAGTTGAAAGTTGTAGTGAACACTGGGAACAGCTGCGCCAAGCATGAGGAACCCCAAAAAAGCAGCACATAATAGAGAATGGAGGATGAAATGCTGCATGGGCCTGGAGCGCAGTGGTGCTGTTTTTTCTCCAGTCTAGCAAATCCTGATACAGCATTTTGTTTACTGTGGCTTCATAGAAGTGACAATACCAGTTAGCGTTGCTGTCTGTGGCATAGCATCGATACGAAGAAGTTAATGGAAGGGGAAGGGTGTAATAGCTGTGTTATTTTACAATAACCGCAAATGGCTCCTGGTCATATCTCATTCTGATCATGTAGATAAGTGCTCAGGTGAGCCTAGCGTACTTTTTTCTGCTTACATGTGACTGTCATTGTTGCTCTAACGTAATCTAAGATCCTTCTTTCTTCAGGGAACCTTTCGGGGGTGGGGAGGGGAGTGGAGCGGGAGTATGGGGAGCGTAGTCACCTTCCCCTTACCTGAAAGGAACTCAGGGAAACTCAGCTATGAAGTTTTTCTTCCTTTACTACACACAGTGCAACAGGACAAGGACACAACATGTACACCATGTGCCAGAGGCTACTTCTCAAAGGTTGCTTCATCCACTGACAAGTGTAAATCCTGGACCAAGTAAGTCCCTGTATCTTGCAAGAAGACTATACTAGCCACAAGGCAGGGAGAAGCTTGGGCAAACGCATTTTTCAGTGGGGTGTTTCAGGCTGTCTGCAGAGTGCACAGAGCATCTCTGTTGGCTGTGCAGCGATAAAGGCATTCTCATGATGGAGCCTGAATTCTCTTTGGCGGGGACCAAGAGAGAGTGGTAACAACAGAACCGCTGAGTTAACACAGCTGAAAATAAAGAAGGTATCTGAGCTTCTTAAGGGTGGAGAAATGCAGGATAAATGTACATTACAACAGAAAGTACTACTCTGCATAAGTGTAGGAGCCATGACAAGCTCCCTCTTTGAGAACCTGGCCTCTTTGTCTTTCTTTTTCAGCTGTACAGCTCTAGGAATGGCTGAAATGGTGCCTGGGACTGACAAGTCAGATGCAGTTTGCGCAGAACGGAAGATGCCTGAGCCATCGGAAGACGGTATGTGTCCTCGTACAGATTATCTGTTAGAAAGTACCAGGGAGGAGGAGGGATGTGTTTACTAGGGTTTTTGGCTGGCTTGACTCCATTCCCATTGTGGGTGACTCTAGGGGGAGCAGCTGTAGACCAAGACGGCGCTCTTGGAAAACCCCACCTTTAAAGATTACCTTAAGCCTGGCAGCTCTAGGGCCCGTGTCCGCTACTAAGCAGAGCTTTACATCTCCCACTGAGACTGCATGGCAAGCAGCGTTGCTGTTATACCCATGATCTCCATCACATTTACAGCTCTTTCATTTTGTCAGCCTGCTGATTTCCATACACGCATTATCTGTATAAAGGCTAGCAGCTTCTCTCCATGCTTCTTTTATAGCAATGGATACAATCTCAGCTGAATGTAGCTCTCCCTTCTTGCCCACTGCCCATTTCCCTCTCCAGTGTGGATATGGTACCAGGGAGGCTGCTTGCCTGGCACGCAGTGATCCTTCATAACCTGAGATAAAGGACAAATTTTGCCAGCTGAAGTCTATAGCCTCCATGAGAGGTATGTCCGCCATCCCCTGAGGCAGAGCAAGCACAGCCCATGGGCTGCTGGCAGCTTGCAAGGGGACCTTCAGAGGACCATGGCTGGATTGCACCTCTCTGAGACACCAAGACTCCATTTTCTACAGAGATGGCTCAGTACCTGGTACCTTCAGTAAGGCTGCCTGACACAGAACTGCATGAGTGCTAGAGATGTTGTCCTTATTACAGAAACTGAAAATCAAATAGGAAGTTAAAAAAACCCCTCTCCTGTGGAAAAGGAGGTAAATTGAGCAAGGATTGTCATACTGCTGAGTACAAGCTGCATGTTGATTGCACTATCTTTTTTACATCCTGCAGGAGCAAACAGGTTCTTATACATGTTGATTGTCATCTTGTTTTTTGTGGCACTAATTGGCATTGTCATCTTCATCATATACTACAAGAATAAGGGAAAAAAGTTGACAGGTACGTGATAGTTAATGATATTCATGAATGTGACAACTGCATGGTGCTCTGTGCACTCTGATTTCATGGGTACCTGCCCATGAGGTTAAGAAACTCAGGAGTGGAGGTTCTGCACTATCCCTGTATCTGTCCATATGGATATGCTTTAACTAGCGCAAAGCCAGGCTTCGAATTCCTTTCCTCTAGGCAGGGAGCGTATTACGCTGTCCTGGTTT